CACTGTCCACTCGTCTAGCCCAGACTTTATCCTCATAAGTAAGTTGATGTTATGGGAGACAGTGTCAAAAGCCTTACTGAAGTCAAGGGAGACAACATCCACCACTTTCCCCACTTTATTTATTATTTAATGAATGGCATGTTTTATCATCTGCCACAAAGGGCCGAAAAGTAGAACCATTCAGACTTAACATATAGCAGGTCCACCTTCTCGATAACTGCAAAGTTGCATACAGCAAATTAATCAAGGGATGATTGAAAACTGAGTTTTTCCATGTTACATGACAAATAGAAAACTGTACTACACTGGATATGCTGTGGATCAGAATTAGTCTGTCGACATTAGGCTGGGCATTGCTGCTTAATGTAAAATCAAGTGACAAAGCTGAAGTCCCTTTCTCCTCCAATTTTCCACTCAGAACAGCTTGTAATTATAAAAATGCATTACTTACTAGGGTAAAAACCTACTCAAAATCTTGTCTTATTAAAAAGAAATTCTAAGATTTCAAGAGATCTTAATAGGAGACCACCATCTTCAAAAAGCTAGTATTTCTTACACTGGCCACATGCAGGTCATAAGACAGAATTCACATATTTTACGTGTACAGGAGTACCTTAAACTAAGAACGACTCTTTAGAAAGACAGCACTGGTAGATAGTCAAATAATTCCTGATTTCAATCTACTGCAGCACTGTATAAAAAGATCATAACATATGGATCAGCCCACCCACATTATCTTCATACAAGTAATCAACAACAATTCAAATCACTGTAGTTTCTTTGCCGTAAATACCCTTTTGTAGACTCCCCATAGTTAACAATTTTGTAAGACAACTAACAAAAATTGATTACTTAAGATAAAAATGAGTTTATATGGTACAATTAAACCAAGGATAACACTGAATATTCATAGCTTTTAGTTTTCCTACCACCTCATTTGAGCAAAGGCAACCTGCTTAACCTCTCTGTATGTCAGTTTCTCCATCTTTACCTCAAAGAAAATGCTGTAAAACTTACATAAGTCATAAAATCACTAGAAGAAGAAAAAAAAATGCGACACAGGTATAAAGTGCAGCTCTGCTCTGAAAAGTGACTCTGAAGAGTAGCATTGATTTTCAGGCTTTTAATAAAATCAGTATCAAGTTTGTTCATTCACAAGTAACAAAGACTTCTTTCTCCAAACCATTAGCCTGTAGCTTAGTATGGTAAGCCAAATTGAATTTTTCCACTTGAAGAGCACTGCCAGTATTAACAATTTGATAGGTTATAAAGAAAGTTATTTATAAAAATAGTTTGCAAGGGTGTAGTAGTGGATTATTTTATTTGCCCATATACATTTCTAAGTTCTTCTCAAATCCTGTAAAAGCTATTTTATCATAATAAGTTCCATTGTTTGCCTCAAAATGAGGCCTTTCAGTTTCAGAGTCATTATGAAAGATTTATTACAAAAATTGGGCAAAAGGAATCTATTCTGTTCTACTCTATTCTTTATTTTACATATGTATTTATGGCAATTTTTAGTACTGCTTAATTTTGAATGTCGATTGCAATAACGCTTCCATTATTAGAAGTGGCCACACCTCAAAATATTATCTCAGTCAAACCATAGTATGTAACAGACTTCACTTCAAGCAGAGATCTTGAATCTTTATTTCAGTAGAATATCATTGCCTTCAAAAAAATACCAAGTATAAATTTATCATGGCACTGACAAAAAAAAGTCAAAGTAATCATACACATTTGTAAGTAAAAATTGACTATCTTCTTTTTGTAAACTTCCCCCCCCTTTTTTAATAAAACATTTTTTTAAATTTATCTTTTGACAAGTCACTGGTCTCTACAGGCCAATTCCCGATATAGCTGCTGGGCCTTACATATATGCTATGTTAAAGTCTATATTCCATAGCCAGCAAATAGCAGAGTCAAGGTGATGAAAACAAATTTTAATTGACAGCTTGCATATTTCTTGGAAAATCTAAAAACAACAACAAAAACCCTCTCAAATTCACATAGCTTAATGAAAGTATTATGAGCCAGGAAAGAGGAGACCAGGATTCCAAAGCTTCTATTTATATGCTGCTTAAATACCTTGTAATTTACAATCACCATAAACATACTGCCAGAACCTCTAATATTTAGCACATTGAGGAAGAAAATCCTGAGAATTTCCCCCCCACCCCACCTTCTGAACAAGTAAAGTGAAAGAACAGTCACAAAAGGCACCAAGGTTAGCTCTTAAAAACAGCAAGCATCAGTTTCGGCACTTGCATTATGCTGTATAAGCTATACATTTGCCTCCAGAACTAAGAACTTCACATCATTAACACTATTGCTGAATATGGAAGGATTTCACTATCTGTCTCAGAGGTGTGTGTTCAGTGTCATACCATACCATATCTAAAAAACTATTAAGTCAATCAGCAGACAGCATTATAGCTTTGAAAGAAAAGCACTAAGCCTAGCTCTTTACAGATTGTATTAAAGACTGTAAGAATCCGCAGGCCAGCAATGCATTTACTTTTGTTAAGGAAATGATAACTAACGCATTTGCCAATTTCCACAGCGGTATGTCTAAATGTTGATAAATCCACTTCTTGCTGACAAGGAAGGGAAGAACAATAGGCATATATTCCCTATACTTGCTCCCTGCTGTATCCAAATTCCAGAAAGCAACGCAAGTGTTCCTTCTGCTATAAGGAGAAACAGTGAGGGAAGCTGTATAAATTCCTCCCAGCTGCTAGGTTATGTCATCGCTGATGAAAATGTTTGCTACTTATTTACCTTAAACTGGCTTTAAACCTGCAATAAGATTTCAGATAGAGTGCACCTCTGTTACATTACTTTTTTGAACTCATTTTTCTGGAAGGAGTAATCCAGAGCTACTCCAAGAGTTTGGTTTCTCATCAAGACTCCCAGATCTGGTGAGGTTACTCTTTCTCCACTAACTCCCAAAAGCTATTCATCAAGATATACTAAAAAGCGCAGTGAAATTTGTGTTGCAATGAATGAATAAAATTTACACTTAGCACAACGTACGCCATACAACCTAACTGCTTGAGGCATACAACTGCATATTACTTAACACCTTCAATACCTTCTAGAACTATTAATAATTATACGCCAATAAAAAAAGTCTTAACAGTGACTTTCCAGTGGTATTGCAGCAAAAAAACTTAGGAGGGTAAGAGTAATCTTGTGTTCTTTTGTAAGGTTATTTGTTATAGTTCAAATCGATAAAAGAACGTATATTACTTCATGGCATCTTTCTGTGCAACGCTGGTTCCGAATGTGAAAATTTAAATGTGCTAAGCAACGTGAAAGTAGGGAGGAATGTATTGTTTTTTCTCTTATGCCCACGTTTAAAATTTATCATACCTTATCAAACTTAACTGACACTTCACACTTGAAGTGCTTCATTTCTTTAATAGTCTCTAAGAAACTTTCAAAGGTTTCCCAAGAGATCAAAAAAGTCATAATTTAGTGAGTTTTTTTTAAGTTAACATCTGCAAAGAAAAACTGAAGATGTTAAAGCATTTTAACCCCATTCTGGGATCATATAGGTTTCAAATTATGCAAAATATTAGAAATGATGTATCTGATACTGAAGCTGACTCCCAACAAGCTTACATCCCAACTTTTTCAAGCACAAATATATCTGCCAAGATTGAAAGGTTTCAGTGAACTTTAATTAGATCTTATTTCTTAGTTACCGATTATTTCCTATATACACTCAACCTATGGCTGACAATGTTGCCGAGTTACTGTTCTGTATCATTTCAAAGAAGAACTGCACTTTAAATTAGTAGTACTAAATAGCAGTTTACTTTAAAAATATATGCAGTTATATACACACACACACATTTCATCTTTATACAAATAACAACAGATTTACAAGACTGCTTAAACAGACAGAGTTTAACATGCCTTATTTAGCCAAGGAAAACTAAGCACTGATTCAGCATCAACTTCATTCTGCTTGAGTCCATCAGCTGTTTCTTTGAACTGAAAGTCTGTAAGTATATGTATAAAACAAAGAGATCGAATATTTTAAGGTTTTATACAAATGTTTTTGCTAACCTCGTACTGTCAGCTTGCTATATAATTGTGAGTTCATTTCCTTGTCTCTCTTGTAACGTCGAAATTCATCAACAGCTTCCCGTGCCACTGTGACCGTCAAAACAAACCCCTGTTAAAGATAAAATGATGCTGCTCAGAATTCTGAAAATGCTAGATTAGAAACACACAAGTAGGAACACAATACAGAATGAAAACACATTTACAATGTTTATTTTGGGGGTCATTTGGATTTTTGTTTTCTTCAGTCTTTGTTAAATCATCTTAGTTCAGTCTAGAAAAGAATAAACAAAATTTTATCTCTGTACTGTATGCAGATGTAATTTGAATAGCTATGTCTACAAATACAATTAATTTGGATATAATCTGAAATTTAGAACAAGTTAAAATGCTTAAATAAGCTAAGGACAGCTTTTACAACACTAGAAGCTTATTTCCCTATCCTCCAAGAATTCTGGGGCTCTACTGCAAACATATTCTAATTTTAGAAGTTTTCTGCCTTTTTACCTAACAGAGGCAGAAGTGAAAAAGTACACAGATGGTGAGTTTAACTGATTGTTCCATCTTAACTGTAGTTATTTACTAACACGTCCCAAATACTGACAAAGCAGCAGACTTTGTGTTTTGCCTACAACTTTCACAGGGCAGCGTCAGGCTTCTCTCACAGGGCAGCTTCTGTCTGAAGTGCAGAGCCTGCTATGTGCAACTAAGATGATCTCTGGCCACAAAAGATGGCAAGTTAAAACACAAGATTTCAGAACAGCTCCAAGGTAAACACGTGACAGTTCACTTTCTCCCTCCTCTTCTAATTCTTCCTCAGATACGGTCTTCTAGCTTATTAAATTCAAGAGTTGTTCTCCATCAGTGAAAGGGTAGTAACATTTTCCAACAGTAAAGGGATCTTATCATTAATTGCCATACAAGATCCCTAAAATAAAATTTCAAATACAACCGTAATTCAAATATAGAAAATCCTTCAACAGATAAAGCTCTAGAATACCTGTCCAGTTTCACAAATCCTCTAATCCTAAGCCCACTTTTCCTTTTGTAGAAGAAAATTTAAACCATTAGATTACTTTTCTTGCAGAAGTCCAACAATATTTCACAGCATGGTTGAGGTTGGAAAGGACCTCTGGAGATCATCTAATCCAACCCCCCTGCTCAGGCTGGGTCACTTAGAGCACATTGCCCAGGATTGGGTCTGCACTGCTTTTGAATATCTCCAAGGACTGAGAGACTCCACAACCAATTTGCCCTCTCAGCAATGAGTCAAAGTTTACTCATTCCTGAAACAGACTCTAGATTAAACTTTTTCTTTTAACAGCAAGAGCAGCTGTTTTGCTGTTCCAGCCCAAAATTCTGAGACTTCACTTACTGAAACCTTATAGTTAAATACCTCTTATTTATTTATGCAGGTCTGCATTAACTGCATTTAAATTAGAACTAGGGAGAGCAAAATGCCTTTACAAAAATGCATTCACTGCTAGAGCATAGCTCAATACCCTAACTCATGTGAATGTTATTCAAATCCAGCTTTCAGACCTTAATTTAGCTCTATGATTTAGCAGAAGTTTCAGACAGCGCTGCCTTAGAAATCCATCTTCAGCCCTCAGAAATATGCAAGTACTTTAGAAAATCGGTCAATTATACTCTGGAAAGCATTCTAGCATCGACAGGATTGAGATACCGCCTTACTCAGAATAAAAGCTTTGTAGAGTTTCTATAAAATTGTCTTTTCATTTTCCCTGGACACCTTAAGGCAATATCATTCTGAACGGCCATTATGCTAACACCTCTAACTACTGTCTCTGTACTTTAAAGCAGTGGTGTTTTTCCCTTTTCTGGCTGCAGAATTTTATGCCATTTTCAAGAGCTTTGGCAATACAAATAATTTAGCAGCATAAAAAAGGCACTTTTAAAACAGTCTGAAATATACTTGACATTTGCATGTATCTCACTAGGCAGTAATCAAAGCATATTAAAGTGACAGGTTAATTTTGAGAATTTCCCCTAGAATTCACCATCCCATGCTGGGCAGTTTAGTACAAGTGAGGACAACTGCAAGGAACTATCTGAGAAACACTTTTGTTTTGCCTCTCTTTCTCAGAGAAACTTGATACTCTTCCAGAGGGGAGCTGGAATTGTGAAGACAAAGTTGCAAGAGATTCATTCTCTCGTCCTTCTTTAACTGTAAGCGCTTCCAGATCTTTACGATATTGCTCACAGCCAAACTCATGTCCTTTACTTCTTTCAGATGGTGGACTCTGAAAAGACTCAAGCTAAAAATAAAAAAACCCACACATATAACCCCCACCAACACACACACACACACACTCAAGTGCATAGTTAATTTCTATTGTGTCAGTTTTAAGTATCTTGCTGAACAATCTCTCTCATCCTTCAAAAATCTTAAGAGAAAAATACAAGCTTCTGCCCAAAACTAAGTCATGACTACTCCTCCGAGCATTACGGAGAATTTCTCAGTATTTTACACATTCTTCAGGAAGAAAAAAAAATCCCACCTCCCAAAAAACTACTTATCTGCTAAGCAGCCCCGTGGGTCTGCTTTTAAATGTTTTGTATTCTCATCATACACACTGAGTCTTACCCAAAATCAGATTAACTTTTTTTTAACCTGGATCTTCCCCATCAGTAGAAAAACTATTTAAGTGGAAACTGAGTAACTGATGAATTTAGCAAAAAGGTGGTATTACCAGCACAAACTGAGACCTTGCTGCAATTTCAAGTGAAAACCCGCTACTCAAAATATCCTTGAATAAAGCCCACAAGTCTTTACAGAACAGATTACTAAAGTTTGACAAATACAGTATTTTCTTCCTTCTCCGTTCTTTTTTGGACAGGGACAAGACAAGCTGAGATGGTAAGTGATTTCTTCCTTCCCACCCCACTAAAGTTCAGAACTCTGCACAGCAGTTTACTGGGAAGAGTCTGAATTCCAGACAAGGTTGACTTCCACCTTTTCTTAGTGCATCAGTGACAAAAAAACATGGAAATACCCACTTCAAATGTCCTACTGTTAAACAAGCGTTCTGTTTTGAAAGTTTTTTTTGTTGCAGTGCAAATGAAAAGTTCCTTGGAGATAAACGTATGAAGAGGAATCTCTAGGGCAGCCTCTCCATTTATCAATACTTAAAAGGATACATGTTGCAACAATTTAAACAATGAAATCAATCCAGAATATTTACTCTATTGACATGTTAACAACGACCTTTACTCAAAGCAGCCAGAGTGTCACTGTTCCTCTTGAATACCACTTAGCATAAACACTACTGAAAAAATAACTTTTTTTTTTTTTAAAATAACTTAGAAATTAAAGCCTCTCCTTTTTCTGAATTGCACACACTGTAGTTAATAGTATTTTTCTGTTTACCAGAGGAGCCCAGTACGTGTACAGGTAGCCTATTTTCAATGCTGGTACAAACTGTGAGCAGGACACGACGAGAAAATAGAGATTCAAGAAAAACTTGAACTGTTCATATAAAACCTGAAATGAAGAAAAAAAACACAAAATAGATAAATGTCTTAAGTTTGCACCAGAAGTGTACATAAAATTCATTGTTTGGCCTAACAGTAAATATAAATCCCTTATATGGCATACTATAATATACAGTGTCACTATAGTACTATATAGTGCAATATAATATGCTAAACTACCACACTTATTTTAATGTTATACTGCTATTTTTGCTGAGAAAAATCCTCTAACAGGAATGTCCCTTTTCAGTCTTCAGAAAAAAGAATTTGCAGAATTATCTAATTTTTGATATTTTAAATACTATGGAAGACCTCTTTCCAAACATTACACATATATCAAGTTCATAGTGCAAAGATATAATCACATTTAAATGTAAGACAAAATTCAGATATTTTCAGAAACATCTTGCAATAATTTTATTTCCTCAGCAAAGTCATCTTCATGCTTTTGGAGTCAAGTGCGCTAAAACAGTTTTCAAAGAATTTATTTTCTTATAGTATTAACTCAAAAGCAAGTTAAGCTTATGAATATTTTAACTTACATTGTTTACCCTATGTTTTCATTTTTAACTTGCAAAACTTTCCTTCCTAAAAATAAAGTACTAAAAGTAAATCATAACAAGTGTTTTTAAGTATCCGGCACTTAAATTCTGTATTTTCTATCTCAATGCCTTTTTTTGCTAAGAATTTCCTACGCTGGCCTTAAATAATGTAATAGAAAAAGAAATTCCATTAACATGCAATGATTAGAACTTATTTACAGAATAGGATAGTACTTCCTCGTCTTTGTCATTTTAACTTCTACGCAGTAATGAAACCGAGTAGGCTATGCTGTACAGCTCTGTTTCGCTGTAAGAAAACTCTAAAACTTCTATCCCTCGCGCAGTGTGCGCAAAAAACAGTACCTATCAGTTTGTCATTGTATTTGTTCAACACACACCCCTCACACGCTCTCTCCTGGACATCGCCCTTGAAGTCTCCTCTCTTGCAGAGGCTTAAGAGCTCCACCTCATCTGCCTCCTTTCTGAGGTCCTGTGGCCCGCAAAGGGACCAAGACGACCACCAGTTCAGATACACGCCCTTCAAAATAACCTCTTCCCATTTTCTTAAAAACAGTGAAACTATTTAGTCTTCAAGAATAAATTTCGCTTAGGAAGAGAAGATGAACATTACAGAAAGACTCCTGCAAAGCAAGCAGCACTGCTCTCTTTCCAAATAGCTGTCACACAGCCACAGACACGGCTGTCCCAGAAATAAGGTAGGATTCTTTGGTTCCCAGAGCAAGCCAAATTTTCTGCAAAAGCAATCACACTTTCAGTTTTCAGAATGTTTAAACTACCAAAAAAAAAAAAAACCACTTAATGGGATTACATGGACTTTTGAAGTAATTCAGAAGGCAGGCGGGCTCAGCACTACGTATCAAATTTATAAGATCCTTTCTGTAATAAATACTGATTACTGCTAAATAAGTGTTCAAGTTTTAAGTGAAGATAAAGTATCCTTATCAGTTGTCTCATATTCCACACGAGTGACAGAAGCCTCTGACAGTTTACCAGACAGATTATTGGACAGTTCTTTCAGTAATTAAAGATGTCCCTTTGTAAAGAGCATGTTCTCAATATTATTTTTGTCATATTTAAAAAGCTAAGAACATATTCTTCATTTTAAAGAATTTTAAATCCTAAAAAAAACTTGACACGTCCTCTTTAGAAGGTCAGCGTAACATAACGCCTCTACAAGGAGGACTGGAAGTGGTGACTTAACTTAGAACATTGTTGCAAAACTGAGTCTTCTCTTAGAGAATATATAATTGTTTCAAAACTAGAAGACTCAAAATAGATCAAGAAAGCCACAATTAAGGAGTGTCTCCATCTTTTAAGTCTTACAACTCAGTCGATATCATGGAGAATTCTGCCTGAAATTCCAAGTTACACGATTTTTGTTGGTCTTGTCTAGCCAACGTAATTACTTAATTATGTAAAAACCTAAAAATTTTCAAGAAAGTTGATTTCAAAGCATCTTCCAATTATTACTGGTTCCTTGCAAGAGTGTTCCATTACTACTGATCAGCTAAAGGCTATTTAAACAACCTCAAAAGTCAGAAGAATTTTTCAAAAGCTTGGAATTCTGTTTCACTACGGACACAGCAGCAAAGCATAACTTTTAAAGCC